AAAAAAAAAAAAAAAAAAAAAAAAAAAAAAGGGAAAGGAAAACTACACAGCCCCAAAGTTTGGCTGGGAAACTTAGATTTCATTGCTACCAGTCACTTCTGAGTTAAATGTAAAGTATTTATGGATTTGGCTATAAGAAAATGTAACTGAATTTCCTGAAATGGGTAAGTTTATGACTTCTAAAGGAAACATCTGCATTTCCTTTTCTCAAAATACTCTGAATTTGTGATACTCCAAGGCTTCCACAAGATAGCAACATAACCCTTTAGATGTAGAGCTTAGTTTTTGTTTTGCTTTTAAAAAAATGAAGAATATATAGAAATGTGTATAGTTCAATTTTTAACACAAAAACCTTCCCGTAGTCCATCATTCCAAAGATACTGCATTCATTTGTATATGTTTACCTCTAATTTTTGCCAGTTATCTGTGTATCCATACATGGTAAGTACATCCATAATGTGCATGACATTTAGTCTGCTTTTAAAATTCATGCAATAGGTATCTTTTACACATTTCACCTGACGTTCATACTTCTTTCAGTGGTTACATACAATTCTACTTCCCAAATCACTCTCCTGTTGCTACACATTATGTAGTGTGTCTGTAGGTATCTTTATTTGGCACACAAATCTTGGGTTATTTTGAAGAATTATAGAGATGGGATTACTGAGTCACAGCTATGGATGTCATTTACTTTTTACCTTCTTAAAGTGTTACGCAGAATCCCATTGCTGTCAGCACACATGAGGGGCTGGGCTGTGTGTCCATTTTGCTTTATTTTTTCAAACCTGAAAATATCTACCATGATATGCTCATTGCATTTGATAAATACTTGTGTCAACCTGCTGGTCCAAGTTTCAAAATGGGTACTGGGAGCTGGGGATTTAGCTCAGTGGTTCCAGCGCCTGCCTCACAAGCACAGGGATCCAAGTTGGATCCCCGCTAGCAAAACAAACAAACAAACAAACAAAATGGGTACTTCAAACAAAATAATGTGGGAAGTACAACCAGGTGGGAAGCCAGAGTTTTAATCCTATAATTATGTAATAAAATATAAAGCCCTCCTGTGACAGGAGCCGTGCTCTGTGACCCTTCCTGGAAGCTTGGACCTGATCCTCATGTTTCCTTCATAGAAATACTGTGCCTAATTCTCTCTTCTTCTCAGTTCCTGTCTGAGGTTGTGCTGCTTAGTGCCTGGTAAGGTTGGAAAACAAATCAAAACACCTGAGAGAGGACAGTGTTTACAGAGGAAAGGACTTGAAAATGTACTTCTAACCGTGTGACTGTGTGCGTGTGTGTGTGTGTGAGCATGTGTACGCCCTTCTTCGTAGTGACCTCCCATAACACAACACCTTCATCCAGAGAATACATGTAATCACAGTAGGACTGCTTTACATGCTTTATTATGTTTTCAATTTAACTTTTTGTGGTAAAAATACATGTAACATAAAATCTGCCATCTTAACCATTTTAAGCTCACAGTTCAGTGACAGTACAGGAAGGACATTCACAGTATGGTACATCCACACCACCCTCTATCTCCAGCGCTCATCCATCTTCCCAGACTGAAACTCTGTGCCTACTAAACAATGAGCTTCCGGTTCCCCACCGCCCTCAGCCCTACAGCTGCCTTCCTACTTCCTGTGTTTGACTGCTGTAGGTAGCTCACACACTTGAAAAGGAATTACCCAGCTCTGTCTTCTTGGAACTGGCTTGTTTCACTGGCTAATGTCCTTAAGGTGCATCCATCTGCCGCATGCGTCAGGATTTCCTTTCTTCTTAAATCTGCATCATAGTCCATTGTGTGTACAGCACCTTCTGCTTGTCCATTCGCCACCTGCTGATGGAACTGTGTAGAGCATGTAGCCTGTCAGTTTATCTTGACCTGAGGGGCAGTAAAGCTTAAAGAAGAAAGACACAAAGATAATTTGGAAGAGAAGGGCCAGGGGGCTTTTTGCCTCTAGTGGACAAAAAAGCCCTGCACAGACAGTGCTCCTCACTTTTATTACACTCACACAAAGAAGAAGGGATCAGGGAAAGTTCATCAGTTTCTCATAACTTGCAGGCTGCACCCAAAAGTATTTTGTTCAATCAGACTTCAGCTGTAGTTACACTGGTTGGCACTGGCCCGCTAGTGAACAGCCAGGGCTGGGGGGCATCTTGCTATTCCCTCTCCCACGTCTCAAGGAAAGTTTAACCCAAACCTCGGCTGCTTTTGCCTCTTGGCCATTCAGAGCAATGCTGCTGTGAATTTGAGCACTTAGGTTTAAGTCTCTGCTTTCAATTCTTGTCAGGTCTATTCCCAGTAATAGAATTGTTGGATCAGATGGTAATTCTTTGCTTGCTTTATTGTTTATAAGGTTCTTTTTCATGTACATTGTGATCACATTTGTCTTTACCTTAGTCTTTTATATCTTCTCTGCTCAAAAAATTAGCTTCCACACAACAGAGCATTACTCCACCATAAAGAAAGATAAAAATGAGTCATCTGTAGGAAAATGGATGCACCTTGAGATTGTGATGTTAAGTGAAGTAAATCAGGCACACAAGCTTAAATATCACATGGTTTCTGTTATATGAGACGCCCACAGTATAAATAAAGAGCAAAATAAAAGTAGATAATAGGAAATAGGGAGATAGCTTATTCTCAGAGGAAGGAGATGAGATGGAGCTGGAGAGGGCAAGAAAAGTGAAAAGGGATGAAAACAAAGGAATAGGGTATGTTATAAATAGGTACCAACTCCACACAAGGAATGTAAAGACTATAAACTAAATTTTGTTCAAAGTGGTTTGCCCAAAGTGAGGTCATCAATAAGAATATCCTGACCTCAAAATTGGCTTCCCCGTTTGTTGTGGCCCATTAAGAGTGGTCGTAACCACATGTCACCTCCAAGGACAAGCCCCCTCCTTGGTAATCAGAGCACTCTGCTGCCAGTTCCTGCCTGCATCTGCCCTGACAGCACTGTCCCAGCCTACCTAGCTGTGGCCCTTCCTCACTGCAAGGGCAGAGCTGTCCACAGCCCCAGCAGCCAGGGTTTCTCTTCTGGCTTTCTCTCTCCATTTTTCAGTTGAGACTTGGACATCTGACCATGAGGATCTGGTGGCTGCTGCTTGCCCTGGGAGTCTGCACAGGGGTTGTGAACTCCCAAGACACATGCAGGCAAGGGCACTCGGGCATTCCTGGGACTCCTGGTCACAACGGTCTGCCCGGAAGAGATGGACGCGATGGAGCAAAGGGGGACAAAGGGGATGCAGGTACCTGGCACTTGGCAGCCACTGGCTGCCTTCTCCTATCACCTTGCCCCTTCCATTCCACCCACTCATTTCACCACCTGTGTGCTTTTCCACTTGCCCACTCCTGCATCCAGCCATGCCCCTTGAAGCCAGTCACGGAGTCCTGCTTCATGCAGTTTCTGTGCGAGGTGCTGGGTGGAGTGGAGGGCCAGCTGAAAGGGCACTACTCTCAGGGGTCTCATCTACCAGGGACACCCGTTAGCCATTGTCTTTGATACCATGGGGCATCTTCAGTGGTAGAGGATGTTATCAATCTTCCTGCATCAGCAACAGGTGTGATGGGTTTTCAGCAACATGAGGCCAATAAAGACATCTGATGGCCAACATGCTCCATGCGGTTGTGTTTTAAGACCCACCGTGGGAGCCCCAAAAGATAGTATGAAGTCCTGTAATTATGATTTTTCCCATACATACATACCTAGAAAAGGTTGAACCTACACTTTAGAACAGAAAGAGATGAACAACAATGAATAAAAAATAGAACAATTATAATTCAGCACTACAATAAAATTGGCAGTCTCACTAATCTTACACCTTGAGTTACTTGACTATAAGCATGGGATGCTCTGCTCATCGATCTAGTAACTGAGATGGCCACAAAGAGACACTCGGGACAAGTTGCGTCCTGAGCCACACTGAGTAGGGTGCACGAAGTTTCATCACAGTTCTCAGACAGGCGTGCATCTTGTCCTGGGCACAGTGGCACAGGTCTACTGTCCCGACTACTCTGCAGGTTGAGGTTGGAGTCTTGCTTGAGCCCAGGAGTTCAAGGCCAGCCCAGCAACAACAACAATTAACACATTGCTTATTTGGGGAATTTCCATTTAATGGTTCAGGACCACAGTTAACTGTAACAGAATCTTTGAAAACTGAATCTCCAGATATGGCAGGGGGTATTGAATTTGGAAAAGAGCACACCAGTACAGGTGAAAGGCCGTGTGATGCAAGGGAACAGAGATGAAGATGGATGACAGCCTGAAGCCATCCAGCTGCTACCCAGGCGTCTGTCAGCAGGATTCTGCTCCAGTGTTCAGGGATCTGGAGGCTGGAAGGAGACTTTTGGTTTACATAGCAATGACTGATAGACCCAGTTTCTAAATGGGACATTAATCCCAAGCCCTGGTCTTGACCCTAGTCTTACATACGTAAAACATGTTCAGAGTAATCTATCAACCTGGGTGCAGGAAAAAATTCATTAAAACTCTGCTGACATTTTAAGAGATACTATAAATAGGTATTTACAACGTTTCAGCTTATGGCACTTGGTGGCGGGCTGGATGAAGCCGAGGGTGCCAGGGGGACTTTTGATCCCCTCCAGCCTGCAGCCTGCACCTCTGCCCTGGGGGTCTCAGATCCAGGAAGCCCACACTGTTCCCAGCACAGTTGCCATGAGCCCGCCTCCTCGCCAGCTCCAGTTAATAGCAAAACCTCAGCCTTATGAAATCAAGTCTACCCACCTACTGGGACTACAATAGTGTTTGTACATTTTATTTCTAAATATATGGGGATTTAACTTTTTAATTTCGTTTCTTTTCTTTTTTTTTTTTCCTTTGGTATCAGAGGTGGAATGCAGGACCTTGCACTCTTGAGGCAGGTGTGGGGCCACTGAGCTAAACCCCTGGCCTCTAACTTTTAAAAATTTTTATAAAATATTTTATGCACACAGAGGAGATAGATGATTGCTAAATAGGTAAATAAGGAAAAATAAGATAAAACATTCATATCAAATGCCACATTTATCTAACTCTCCCTTAAATATGTTTTACATATATTTTCCATATACTTCATATGTGTTAACTGTAACATTTCTTTTGGAAGGTGGTGAGACAGGGTCTCACTATGTAGCTCAGGCTGGCCTTGGACTCACTATGTAGCCTAGTCTGGCCTCGAACCTATGGCGATCCTCCTGCCTCAGCCTCCTAAGTGCTGGGCCCACCAGTGTGTGCCTCTACATCCAGCTAAAAATATTTCTTATAAGGATGTTCAATCATATTGCTTGCACTAAAAATTCATTCCATCTTTATCATACCCTTTTTAAATGTTTGTGTGTATATTGTATGATAAACATGCTTAGCACAGTGCCTGTCATAATTCAGATACATAAATGTACACTGTTTAGGGTCCATGTTCATGATTTGCTATTCGGCGCTGTGTGGCCATCAAAGTCAGGAAGCCAGGACTCTAGAAAAACTGAGAATGAAGCCGCCGGGAAGCCAGAAAGAAGTGAGGGAAGGGAGATATCTGCTTCTAGGGCCATGCAGTGAGGTGTGAGAGAGGATGGTAGGAGGTGGCTGAGGGGATGATTCTTACCTGGAGGCCTCCCAGTGAGAGAGGAAACTAAAACTCCCTCTGTTGTGGAAGATCTAGTGTAACTATGACCACAGCTGTGATGCAAACTCATCAGAGCAAGATGATTTTGGAAAGCCCTGCCCAACTTCTCTCCTTCATTGCTACTCTGCTTGCTTATGGTTGTTTCCCCAGCAACCGCAGCTGCTGTTCCCCCTTCCCATAGAAATTCAGAAATAAAAAATGGGAGTAAACTGCTCTTCAGGGCTCTCAAGGAGATACAAATCCCTTGCTGAGCCCCGGGGTAATAAAGCCTCCCTGCTCCTATCTCTGTGTTAGAGTGCTCTGTCCAAAGGTCCTCACAAATTCCTGCTTCACCACGACCTAAGCCTGGATGGGATCGTGGCTGGAGGGCTCAGGTACAGGAGGCCAGGCATTAGCACTGGGTGAGCATCCTTGTCACTCCTGTCCTGTGGTTGGAAGTTGTTTAGTAACTCAGTCTTCTTGCACACTGGCTCCCACCTGCTTCTCTCCAGCCACACTGGTGTGGGGCCAGGCACGCCCACCATGCTGAGTCACCCCGGCCTCTCTAACAAGCAACACCGTGGACAGGAACATGGAAGCTGGAATCTCAACTCTTGTCTGTTTTCTTCTTTTCCCTAGGAGAACCAGGTCGTCCCGGTGGCCCGGGAAAGGATGGAATGAGTGGCGAGAAAGGAGAACGAGGTCAGGAGCTGGCTCACTGTTCCCCATGTTCTGATGGTGACCTACGGAGGAGTTCACAGGGGTTATGAAGCAGTTGGTGCTAGGATGGGTCCTTGGCAAACCTCTGCGGGTGGCCTGATGTTAGAGACTACTCAGCTCTCGCCTCTGGAGCTAGCTCGTGATGGATGCAGGGGTCAGCAAAGGCCCCAGTAGTGAATATCTTCAGCTTTACAGGCTGTGCACTCACCATCACCGCTGCCCAACTCCGCTGAGGTATTGAAAAGCAGTCATATATGCTTCATGGAAAAATGTACCTGTGCCCCAGGGAGGCTGTGTAGACTGGAATCGTAACTCCATATATTTTTCACATGCCATGCATTATTACTTTTGACTGTAGAAACAAGCAAACTATTCTTAGCTGGCAGCCCACATTAGTTACTCTTTTCTCATTGTTGAGACAAAATATCCAACACCCAGAGTTAGAGGTGAAGGGGTTTATTTGGCTTATAGTTCATGGAGGTTTCAGTCCATAATCAGCTGGCTCCAAGGCAGGGATGGCAAACAGACATCGCAGAGAGGAAACAACAGAGCATGCATAAGGTAGCAAAGCAGCAAGGGATTATAACAGTGTCTTTCTGCTCCTCACTCCCTTAATCCTAGTGCCTTTGGGCCTAGCCCCACTATGAATCAATCACACACTCTAGATTCAGCTACCTCCAAAATAACCTATGACCACATGAGGCTTTGGGGGAACATCTAGACACAAAACATAATGGCCCATACAAAAACAGGCACCAGGATGGCTTAGGACCCTGAGTCACAGTCTGCTGGCCAACAATCTGCATTATTCTAAGGCTTCCTTGAATTGCTTACTCAATGTCACAGTCCTATGAACCAGATAGCATTACTGTTCCAGTTCTATAGGCAATGGGACAGAGGCAGTGCCAACAGGTTGCTGGCCTGACGTCCACTACATGACAGGATAGAAGTGGGATGGAATGAAATCCTGGCATGGTCTACACCCACAAGCACCACCCTCCCACCTAAGCAGAATAAACGGAAATGCCAGCTGTTCGCCCAGAATGTGGAAAGGGCAACACACCAGTGGGATGGGCAGGCTGCGGCTGGTCCAGAGACAGAGATAAACACCAAGCTGTGCGCTCATTCTGTGTTCACTCCAGCAAGGAGCTCTTGAGGGGCTGTCACAGCTCTAGGGCTGAGTGCCTGTTCACTCAGTGGCCTGTGTCAGCTTGCCATTAGAGCCCTTCCCACTTCGAAGAGTGTTTCTCATGGGAAGGCCTGGTCAGATGGTAAACTTTGATGATAAAGATCTGGACTCTCTCTTGTGAGCCCAACACTCACTCGGGAGACAGAGTGTGTGTGTGTGTGTGTGTGTGTGTGTGTGTGTGTGTGATGCGGGTAACTGGGGAGTAAATGAATTTTCAAAACCTGAGCAGATGTCATACCTGTATACTACTTCACTCAAATAAATGCTCAGTAACAGAAAAAACAAAGTTGTTTATGAGGGATTAATTCACAAACCATCTATTTTCTTCTTCTACTTAGGGGCAGATGGAAAAGTTGAAGCTAAAGGCATCAAAGGTGATCCTGGCTCCAGAGGACCCCCAGGGAAGCACGGGCCAAAGGGATCTGTTGGTCCCACAGGAGAGAAAGGGCTCCAAGGAGAGGCCGGCCCTCAGGGGCAGAAGGGGGAGAAAGGTGACGTGGGTCCCACAGGTCCTCGAGGTCTAACAGGCAGCACTGGACCTTTGGGTCCCACTGGCTTGACTGGCCCCATAGGCCTGATTGGCAAGCCAGGTCCCAAGGGAGAAGCAGGACCCATGGGACCCCAGGGTGAGCCTGGAATTCGAGGAATGAGAGGCTGGAAAGGGGATCGAGGAGAAAAAGGCAAACTTGGTGAAAGTCCGGTTTTGCCAAAAAGTGCTTTCACTGTAGGGCTGACTGTGCTGAGCAAATTTCCCCCTTCAGATGCACCCATTAAATTTGACAAGATCTTGTACAATGAATTCAACCACTACAATGTTGCTACAGGGAAGTTCATGTGCCACATTGCTGGTGTCTATTACTTCACCTACCACGTCACTGTCTTCTCCAGGAATGTGCAAGTCGCTTTGGTCAAAAATGGTGTAAAAATACTGCACACTAAGGATAGTTACATGAGCTCCGAGGACCAGGCCTCTGGTGGGATTGTCCTGCAGCTGAAGCTTGGGGATGAGGTGTGGATGCAGGTGATAGGAGGAGAGCGGTTCAATGGTTTGTTTGCAGATGAAGATGATGACACGACATTCACAGGCTTCCTGCTGTTCAGCAGCTCCTGATGGCGGAGCCTTCCAGCCCTTGCCTCCCTGTCATTTGGAATTAGTGTGGCGTGGAATTACTCAATGGCTTCACTGTATTCCTTCCTCCAATTATCCCAATGATCCAAAAAAGGTGCAAGTGGGGAAGTTTCTCTTAACCTTGGTTCCATGCAACGTACAATCTTTCCAAGTTTAAATTGTTAAATATTTGCCCTTTTAATTTTAATTTTTTAAATTTTATCTCCAGTGCTACATCTGTCATCCTGTTTATTCCAATTTATTTAATATTTTCATCATTTGTACTATCTAAGAAATACCTTGCATGCATATTTCTGGTGGGAAGGGAGTTCTGGTGTCACTTAATGCTCTAAGTGATACAAGGGAAATAAATGTAACTCTCAAGTTATTGTACACAGACAACAATATGCATTGCATTTTTAAAGCCTGTCTTGACATCACTTTGATCAGCTGGCAAACTAGGTGGAAGCATGTCCTTAATTCTAATGACACTAATCTATAAGGCAATAAAGTTGTAGACATAAATATTTTAAAAATCCAAAAAGGCAGTAAGAAGAAAAATGGTTGAGCTCAAACAAAAGAGTTGTGGATGTTGCACAGTCACAAAATGAACAGACAGACCGACACACACACACACACACACACACACACACACACACACACACACACACATAATTGTTAACAGACCAGAATGCATTCAGATGTATTTGGCCAAGTTGAATTATAATAACCCTTTTATAGTTTTTAAGTTTGTGACTGTAAATAAACTAGTCAGGACTTTTTATAGATCAATTAACAGAGATCTCTTGTACTAAGAATCAGAAGGAATAGTAAAGACCTCTTACACCCATGAAAGCAAAGACAGTTTTAAGACAGGCCCTACATTGATGGTTTATCTGACTAAAATATACAGGCTTCTCATTGCTGGTCTGAGAGCCATAGATGTTCAATAGCCACAGCTATTAAGCGCTTTCTTGATAGTCTTAATAGTCACATGTGACTAGTTCCCTTTAAAAGGACAGACTATTAAAGGTCATTTTAACTATTTTGGGGTGGAAAGAGGGTGTGCAGGCCAGGTTTGGGTACAGAAAGAGACCAGGTGGCATTCTTTAAAGGTAAGTATGTATTCCAAGCAGTGGGGGGAAAAGACTTGCCAAGGCTCCATTCTGTCCTGCTACAGATGTCTATCTATGTCTCTTGCTCATTTTGAAAAGAAACAAGGGGAAAGAAGGCATCTTTGTCTCTCCCCCAATCTAAGGCATTCCCTAGATTTAACCCTGTCCATCAACATCGGTGGTGAACTGGAGGTGCAAGGAAGTGGCCAGACCTGGGTTAGCTACCCTTACCATACACCTGGGCCCCCTTCTTTGTGATCCCATGGCCCTTGGAACATACTTAGCATAGGCCTTCCTTGTTCAGAGCCTCAGTTATGATATCTCTGAGAATAGTGACCAGCCTAGCAAGATGTTCTTGAGAGAAATCATGAGAGAGGCAGTCCTCTGCACAACTGGGGTTGTGCCTGTTTGTTGTTGTTATTTGTTTGTTTTTTGTACTGGGGATCAAAGTTGGGCCCTTTTGCTTGTGAGGCAGGCGGTGCCACCACTGAGCTAAATCCCCGGCCCTGTGCCTGTTCTTTAATACCTGTTTGTGTTTAAAATTGTTGTTAAATTCATAAGCTTCCTTAGAAATGTTTTGTTCTACCAATGAAATTATCCGTGCTATAAAAATCAGTGTGCCCTGTGGTATAAAAACCAGCAGAGAGAGAGAAGTAAGAGGAGTTGATTTCTAGTTCTGCCTGAGGACTGAAAGGCAGGTACATTTGGACTAAAACTTTAATTTTTACATGTTTTCTTTGAAAGTTTCAGGGTTAAATCTAAACCAGATTTTTAAAATATGACCCAAAAATAAAGTGAAGGTCAGCTTCACTCTGGAAGGATCCCAGGGAGGTGAAACTCATCATTCTGGAAACTTGGTCCTGAAATCCAGCAGCCACAGGGAGGGAATTGCCTCGGATCAAACCTTGTGTTATTTCTTTTCTCTCTTTTTTTTTTTGGTACCAGGGATTGAACTCAGGACCTTGCACTTTCGAGGCAGGCAGTGGCACCCCTGATCTAAATTCTCTGGCCCAACACTGTTATTTCTCGGGGGCATGGCAGTGGAGAAGGGACAGAGGAGTGACTTTAAATGTGGAACAAGACCTAAATCATAACCATCTCAAGCACAGAAAGACAAGGTTGAGGGCTTTCCCAAGGTGGGTTTCTAATCCTTAGCAAAACATGCTTCTAGAGACGAGAGTTATGATGGACTCCAACTGCACTGCCAAGCAGAAAATTAAACCAATAATCAAATAACCTGAATGGCTGCTCTTTAACCTTTTGAAAGAGAATGAGATAGAGAAAATGAAAATGCTCCAACTATATTGTTTAGGGCTTAATTTCTAATAAATGACTCTGAATCAAAAAGTTCTAAAATTCCAGGGGCCGGGGATTTAGCTCAGCGGTTCGGTGGCCTGCCTTGCAAGCGCAAGGACCTGAGTTCAATCCCCGGTACCAAAAAAAAAAAAAAATAATAATAATAATAAAAATAAAAAAGTGAAACATCCTGAGTTCAATCCCCATTACAGAAAACAACAACAGCAACAACAACAAAACAAAACAACAAAGATCTTGGTGAAACCTCCAAGATGATACAGGGGAAATAAATATGACTCCCACCCTGCTAGATGTTAGATACACAGAGTTTGTGTTCCCTGAAGTCGAAGAATGAATTCTAAGGAACAACAGAGATTAAAAGTAGGAAAATTTACTGGGGCATAGGAATAGCTCCTGCGAGAGAAGACGGGTCCCAAATGAGTTGGCAATGAGCCCACTTCTCTGAGAAAGTTTTATAGAGCAAAGTTACAAAGGGTGGGCACAATGTGGGTCAAATTATAATCAACTGGGCTGGGGATTTAGCTCAGTGGTGCCATGCCTGCCTGGCAAGTGCAAGGTCTTGAGTTCAATCCCCGGTACCAGAAAAAAAATATGTATATATCAACCAATAATATTACAAGTATAGCCACTTAGCTAATACTGATCCAGCAGTAGCAAGGGCAAATGGATAACATCAGTAACCTTGGTCAATAATCTATAATCTTGTCTTTAGTCTTAGTTTTAGTAGTCTAGACTTAGTGGCCGACTCCTAATGAGATAATATTTTATTTATATAAGAAACCTCTAAAGGATGGTACTGATAATCTCAAGCTTTCTTAGAGAAGTATGTAAATCTGGTCATTGTGACTTTCATAAAAAAATATCACCACGTGAGTGATGTTTTATGTGGATACATTTCCTGGCCTACCTGGGTAGCAGGTGGTGACAGGGGATTATCCGTAGATACCACAATTCCTACAATGACTGAAACTCATGTGGCTCTAGAGTTCGTCTCTTATCCCTGGAGTAACCCTTGAGAGTAACAGAGAAGCAAAAGGACTTAAGCTTGTTCTTCTCTTCCCAAGAGGTGCACAGAGGGATTCTGCTGTCAAGAGCTCCTGCCATGACGTGCTGCCTTGCTATAGGTGTAAAAGCCCTGGGTCCATCCATCCACAGACAGGAACATCTAAAGCCATGAGCCAAGGGAACTCTTTTCTCCTATTAAAATAAGAAAAGATTCGAGACCGGAATATGTTCAAGGTACAGTGTTGTTTTCCACACTCTAACGGGGACTTATTTTCAGACAGAACCCATGTCCTTGAAACTGAGACTGTCCCTGAGGCCACAGGATTTATAGTAATTCTAGCCATGCTCCAAGCTCCAACAAATCAACCCAGTACTACATTCTAAGTAGTTAGATACCTGGCATAACATCTACTTCTTGCTTAAAAAAAACAACAAACAAAAAAACAAAACAAAAAAAACTCTTAGGTTTAATTTTTTTTTTTTAAGGGCAACAAATGAGCATTTGGAGCTAATATATTGAGTTTTTCTCCTTTTCTACGTGGCACCTTTGCCACTTCTCTACAAGCAGCCTGTTCAAAGGGCACAAGGTCTGCAGGCCAGGCAGGGTGGCTGCCGGGAAACCCTGCCCCAGGAATGACTCAGCCCTAGATGATGGACAATCAACATGGAATTAGAAATTTTAAATAGCTTTAAATCGTTGATTTTGAAATAGAAATGAATTACAATTTACTGTAATACACAACAAAATAATGTAATTATTTTAAAAAAATTCTACAGGTACACGATGGTTGTATTCCTAACTCAATTCCAGTTGTTATTTATCATTATTAGCAATGGTTCTTTTTTTCTCCCTACCAGTTTGTTCTGGGTTGGTGTTAGAAGCTGACTGTGAGGCTCTTTTCCTTGGCTTCCTGACCGTCTAGAGAAGGTCTCGAACTACTCAAATCAACGGAGTTAAAATGAGCAGAGCATTACCTAGGATGAAACAACAGGGTGTAAATAAAACTCTACAGGTACCTACTTGGCTGCCACAAGCTGGGGGTGGTGGTGCACGCCTGTAATCCCAGCACTCAGGAGGCTGAAGCAGGAGGATTGCTGTGAGTTCGAGACCAGCCTGGGTTACACAGTGAGTTCCAGATCAACTAAATAGTGAGACCCTGTCTCAAAAAACCAAAACCAAAACAAAACAAAAAAAGAAAAGATGGCTGCCACATGGAATAGCAACCTCCATGTTAAAATATGACTTTTCCCGTCAAAGGACAGGCTTCTTCTCATCAGCCTCTTCTCCTGCCAAAAGAGTAACCACTGAGCTAAATCCCCATCTCCTCCAATCCCCTAATACTACCTTACTGGACTCCACCCCAGCTCAGGCTAACCCCACCCTGCTCCTATAGAAGTAGCTCCCTGGTCCGCCATGTTGCTTTTTCCTCCTTTGTTCAGAGACAGCCAATAGATCCTCCCCATCACAAAGGCTTGTTGTGGTTCTGGTATGGTCCTGGTTTTCGGTTCTTTTTACCTAACACAAACGAAGCACATTTTAGACACAAGTCACAGTAGCTTACCTGGAATAAAAAGGCTCCCTTGGGCTCCTGTTCCTTTGCACAAGTCACACTCTGGTGTTCAAAGCGAGGGAGCGGCCCTCCTCCTCCCTTCCTTTCTCTCAGGCACCTGCAGGAGGCACAGGCTGAGGAGCCGGCTCTCCAGCCTAGCACCCGCTTCTAGGCCCCTCCCAGCCCACCTAGCGTCACTACCTCCCCAAGCAGGGTCCCCTCCCAGGGGCAGGTCCCACTTTGATCCTTCACCCCGCTAGGAGCCTAGGGTAGGTGCCTGGTCATAGCCCAGGGCCTTTCATTCCTGTATTGTTGCGAGGAGTCTGGGAAAAATCCTGTCTCTCCCAACTTATGTTGCAGGTAATTTTACAAGTCGCAATAGGCAAAGATTCACTGAGAGTTAGTTCACGCATTTGTGCATAACCTACCTCTGACCTGCAGTCACACTCTGTTTAAAGTCTGAATGGAGAGAGATAGCTGGGTGGGTCAGTTCGACAGCATGTCACTTCTCCTGGACCATTCCACAGACTCGGTCACTGAGTCACGTCGCGGAAGGCATCGCGAGCACACATTGCTGCGTTCTTTGTGTATAATTAATTCCCTGTTTCAGGGAGAATTCGAAGGTGTTCTAAGACTGCTCTAGCTCAGTTCCGAGTCACGTCGCAGAGAAGGGGAAATTCTAGCGGTTCCTTACTCCGGACACACGGTGGCGCTAAACCTAAGAGGCCACGGAAAAGACGTCGGAGGGCTGCTGCTCTCGCCCTCGCGACTCACACAGTCTGAGGGCCGCGTCCGACCCGGAAGCGCGGGCGTCACGTGGCGCGGCGTGGTCCGCTGCCGTGGAAACGCAGGGCACGTGTTACTTCAGGAGCTGGGCCCTCGGGCTCAGACCTTGGGGCAGGGAAAGAGGCTACGGTGGGGATACAATGCTGTGCGTCCGATGGCTGGGCGGCCTCGGAGCCGGGGTAGCGGCTCTGCGGCCGGGGCCAGCAGGCCCAATTAGCTTCCGAGCTGGGATCCGGGCCCGAAGGGTCAGCACCAGCTGGTCCCCGGTGGGCGCCGCCTTCAATGTCAGGCCCCGGGGCCGCCTCCTGGACCAGTTCGGCGAGCATCGGGTGAGCGGCTCTGAGGGGCTTCCCCTGGTCCACCCGGTCAGCGGCGTCTGGGACAGGGTCTCTTGGGGCTGGAAGGAGCCTGCCACGAGCGCACGGTGCACAGTGGGGTGTCCCTTGTGCTCTCGGCGACCTCACTGCCACCTCCACTCTGAGGGGCTGAGTTACAGGGCGCCTGGCGAGGCAGTCTCTAGTGGCCCCTCCCTAGAGTGTGGGATCCCAGAGCTGTCTCTGCCTGAGCTGCTCCATCCATGTGAATTTAAGATATAAAAGTTGGTTTTGTCGGCGGCGTTAGATTCAGCCTGTGGGTCGTGGCCTCTTCCCGCCTCCGCTAAAGTTTATTTTCCTCGCAACCCTACAGTTGTGTGCGAGAGGTGCCTGATGGGTTCACATTCAACATCATGATGGCTTTTATGTAGGGACACACTTGCCTTGTACCGTCAGAGAAATTCCATTGATGCCCGGTATCCCATCACTGGTTAAGATATTATTTCAAAACTTTGAGCTTGCTTATTTTAAAACATTAAGCCATGCTGAAATGAGTCTGATGTTCTGTGGTGCATTGGGATTGGCTATGATTTATTACCCTTGGAAATCACTAGGCTGAGTTGTTTTATTCATGTGTCCACCCTGCCTGTCATGTTGTCTGTTGTTCAGTAGGTAATCAGTAACTATTAAATGAATGAAAGGTGAAAGGAAAGCAAACTTGGAAAGGACTTGCTGATGTCTGTTTTACTTTGCATTTGTGGATTTTGTCCATTCTAGCTTAAGGGTTACTTTCGTTTTAAAGATTTCTTCGTTGTAGCATTGCCTGCCTTAGGATACAGTTGCAGTCAGCTTATTTTATGGTCTTATTTTTATCACTGTCATTGACTTTGTCATTCATTTTGAATGAAATTTTGACATTGTTTTTGGTTGAAATTTTCGACACTAACTCCCATAAGGGTATGTGATGTTGGATTAATGCAGTGTGCAGAGGACTATTGCACCTATAAATGACAGAAGGAAGAGGAGGGTGGACTTAGTTTTGAGTGGGTGAATAAAACAGTTTAACTTTATTTGTGTTTTGCGCTTCGTGATTTTAGGTACTGATAGCACATTTTCAAATTTGTGAATTGGTTTTTTGCCTCAGGGAAAAAATGGTTCAAATAATTTTTTTAGCATCACCTTGACTGAAGATCCAAGATTTAAAATTCTCAAGAGCGATATGGAAAGGTTGTACTGGGAAGTGAAAGTGATCTCTCCTTGAATGAAATTAAATCATTGTTAAGAATTAAATTTATTAGGGCTTGATTCTATTATGCTTCCAACTATTTTTTTCATTAATTTTCTTCAACTTAATATTTTAATTTTTTTGGTTTTGTTTTTTAGGACAGGGTCTCACTATCTAGTTCATACTGCCCTGGAACTCACTTTGTAGCCCAGGCTGATTTTGAACTCACAGCGATTCTCCTGCCTCAGCCTCCCGAGTGCTGGGATTACAGGCGTGCGCCACTATGCCTGGCTAAATTTTTTATTTATTTTTATGGTGCTAGGGTTTGAACTGGAGGCTTTGTACATGTTAGGCAGCCTCTACTATTGAGCTACCCAGCCCACCCAATTTAATATTTTTGAAGAGTTTAGTAGCTTCACTTCATGCATCTCTTCTAGAAACTATACACCTCATCAGGTGAAAATTTTACCTGTTGGTGTTCTCAGAAATCTCTGAGTTAAGCATCTGCGTAGTTCATCTTCCAGGTTAAGTATCTTCCCCATTCATTTGTTTGTATCACTGAGTTCCGCCAGGTAGGAGTCATTCCTTATGTTGGGCATCTGGTTAAAAAGTGGAGGGCAGCCCCTGCTGATAGGAGCTCCTGCTCTTAGGAGAGTTGACTTTGAGGTAGATCCATTGCAGTAAAGAATGGAAAAATGTGAGCTTTGTTCCAGTGCAGAGTGGCTTCTGTGAGTGCTGGTTTCTCAACATTATTTAATGACCTCCACATGTTTTTGCTAGCCTTTTAAAGCATGTTTCCATACCTGAAAGAATGATACTTCCTGCTCCAGTATTATGTGACTTAAATGAGAGGACCCATACATATAAAATGGTATGCTGTAGATGCAGAGTACATATTTGATTGTTCTTTTTGTTCCTGCCTTTTTTTTTTTTCCCCTATCAGGGATCAAACTCGGGACACTGCGCTTGTGAGGCAGGCAGCAGAACCACTGAGCTAGTTTTTCTGCCTTCTTGAGGACTCTTAACAATGTGACTAAACTGGCACAAGAGGGTGGTCATTCTCATTAGATTAGTGATTTTTGTCTTACTATAATCCTTTTGGGAAGTATCGAATTTGTTGCCAGGTTTGGTCATGATGTGGCTTAGTATATTAATTAAAACTTTCTAAAAATCTGTAACCTTGATAATAACTCACCCTCGCTATTTTATAGTTGTAGCGGAATAATTGACATTAAGTAGTGAGACTGATTATGCTAAATATATAGTATTACTTAGTAATTTAGTATCAGTGCTTTGAAATATGTATAGCCCACCTCATTGTACCTGCTGAAAATTGAGGTCTAAGAGAAAAAAATGACTTGGCCCAAGTTACTGGTGGTTTGTAATGATTATTACTAATGTCTATTATGTGCTTTCTGTGTACTGGACACTGTTATGATAATTTTTTGCATGTATTATCTCATTTAATCCTCTCAGTCACTCCACAGGGTAAGCTCATGGTAGTGATAGAGCTGGATTTGGAATCCACACCATTCTATTTTTTTTAATAATTAAAAATTGAAGGCAAATTAAGATCTTAAAATATCTTTAACCTGTATGGCGTGGTAGATAAAGTGATATCCATGATCACAGGTATAATTATAATATACCAATGAAACCAAGATTTTCTTTGAAAAAATTTTTTTAGTAAATGTAAAATCATGTCTTTGGTTATAAATCAGACATATTCTGTTGGTTTCAGGGTCTCTTTGGCGTCCCTGAGCTCAGTGCCCCAGAAGGATTTCGAGTCGCACAGGAGGAAGCCTTGAGAAGGACAGAGATGCTGTTGGAGCGGGCGTGTTCCACCCCCCCTGGGCCAGAGACTGTGTTCATCTTTGATGAACTCTCTGACACCCTGTGCAGAGTGGCCGACTTGGTAAGACGTTTTGTCTGCAGCTCGACTCAACTGGACGCTGCCTCTCTTTCAAGCAGTTGACATTTTAAGCAACTAAATGTCCTGTGTTGATTTAGGACTAAAACTATAAATTTAAAAATGTCTGAAATCGGGCTCAGGATTTAGCCCAGTGACATCTCACCTGCCTGGCAAGCACAACGTCCTAAGGTCAATTCCAGATACCAAAAAAAGACCCCAAACCAAAAGCTATCTGAAATAATTAAGAGCTATTGAGTAGAAGTGGTCATGTGGAAATGTGCCTATAAGGAACAGGGAAAAGAAGGTGGGTTTGGTGGTGGACGCCTGCAATCCCAGTGCTTCGGAGGCAGGAAGTGACAGGTTTGAGTCCAGCCTGGGTAACAGTTACGTAAGGGATACCCTGTCTCAAAAGAAAAACAAATGGCTGGGGATGTAGCTCAGTGGATAGGCCCTGGGTTCAATCCCCAGCACCATGGGATGGGGGAGGAATGAGAAAAACACGGGGGGGAAATGATATTTAGAACTTGTACTTTAATATGTATATATCATAAAATGTACATGTATGTGTAACAAAAGAACAACTACTAATGCAGTGAAGACTTTTTGTTTGACAAAGGTCCTTTACTCATGAGAGCTACTACCAAAATTCTGACAGACCATTTTATGTATACATTTGTAACAAAATTCCTCTTTCATAAAATGAATGAAAATCAGTGTTTATAAACCTTTTCAGGAGTGCCTTGTTTAAAAATATCCAACTGATTGTATTAAATACATTTATAATGTTCTGAGGTTGAAATAGAAGTATACCTAGCTGTCTTCATCATCTAAGAAACTCATTGCTGAGAAATCACGGTTTTCCACCTGCCCAGAAGGGCCAGATCTCTGTGACATGCATTGGTGATGGTGCACACAATCTAATCATGATTTGTGGTGCACATAATCTAAAGTCATGGTCATTTACGATCCTATTTGCATGGCATTGAACAATCATACCTTTTATCTTTGCATTCAGTCAGTATCAAATACCTGCCGTGTATCAGACGCCGTTCTAGGCACAAAGCGCAAAGTCATGAACAGAGCTTCTGTTCTGGAGTCCAGTGGTTTTCAGATCTTGCAGAGTGGGAGCTTGGTGATAGCTTTGTCTGGGTTTTTAATGATTTAATTCTCAGCAAATCTTCACCTGTCCTCACCTCACATTTGTCAACCTGGTGACCACTGATCTGTCATCCATCCCTACTGTATCGTCTTTTTCAGAATGTCACGTAAATGGAATCTTTTTGAGACTGACTTCTTCTTTCCATCAGCCTAATACCTCACATCTTTGCTCTTTTTCAGAACATTTTCTTTGACTGTAGCATAAAGTAACCTTGTTTAAAGGTTTTTCCCAGGAGTGAAGGCCAGGGCCCTTGGCAGTCAGGTCTCAGTTCAGCAGGGTCTCTGTCCTGCCCCCTGCTGTGTGCCAGGACTGCTCTGACTGTGCCGAGCAGTGGACACTCACAGCTAGGCAGGGGATCTGTGCCTTTTTTGTCTAACTGTGCCCCTAAAGTCTGAAAAGGAAAATAACGTGAGTGGATTTTCCTTATGTGTAGACAGAGGTTGACTTTGGCCCTCAGAATCATGGAATTCATTTTTATTTGTTGTCTTAGTAATATTCTAAGTAAGTAATATTCTAGAATTTTTCTCTACATTTTGCTTTTGTTCTTCATGAAACAATTTTAAGTTTTTTGTGCTATATCTTGTCCTATTTTTGAAGTTTTCTAAAATGTATTTGTGGTGTATAATAGTATCTTAGTTTGAAAACTGTTTTTAAGATGGGTGTGGTGGCACATGCTTGTAATCTCAGCTCTGTAGAGGCTGAGGTAGGAGGATCAAAAATTCAAGACCAGCCTGGGCAATTTATTGACTTAGCAAGAACCTATCTCAAAATGGATAAAAAAAAAAAAAAAAGGTTGGTGATATAACTTAGTGTGAAGGCCTTGGGTTCAGTTCCCACTATCACAAAAGCCAAAAAACAAAACAAAACAAAAGCATATTTAAAAAGAAAAACTATAATGTAACTTATATGAATAATTCTCTGGATAAAATAAGTCAAAAAAACTTCTTTTCTTTATGAATTTTAAAGATATTACCTGTCTATATGCTCAATACCATTTAAAACAATACAAGTGTTATATAAACTATTTCTTACCAACTACAGTAGTCATTTTGTTTTATTTTTCTTTAGTACAATTTTTATGTAATGCAGTTGCTTTTCTTATTACTTTTATTTTTTTTTTAGTTTTTTTGAGACAGGGTCTCGCTGTGTAGTTCAGACTGACCTGGAACTCACTTTGTAGCCCAGGCTGGTCTCGAACTCACAGTGATTCTCCTGCCTCAGCCTCCTGAGTGCTGGGATTATAGGCTTGGCCACCATGCCCAGCTTCCTCATTACTTTTAAGATGTATACTACTGTTTTGATTCTTAACTTTGTAACTTATGAACATGTGGATTCATAATTTATAAAATATGTTGTAAATTTTACAAAGCTCATGTTTCAGATACTTTAGCACTAGTATCTCATTGTTGCTTATTGTTACAAAAAATATACGCCTTGAGTGCTGGGATTATAGGCTTGGCCACCATGCCCAGCTTCCTCATTACTTTTAAGATGTATACTACTGTTTTGATTCTTAACTTTGTAACTTATGAACATGTGGATTCATAATTTATAAAATATGTTGTAAATTTTACAAAGCTCATGTTTCAGATACTTTAGCACTAGTATCTCATTGTTGCTTATTGTTACAAAAAATATATCAAATTTTAAATGTTTTTGCATTAAAAGTTATTTGCTAATAAAATTGGGAAACTTTACGTGTGGTGGTTTTAGTCCATGTTATAATGTAGTTACAGTGTCTTCTTGGAGAATAAAGAAAATATATAGTATTTTCTTAGTTTCCTTTTATTTTCTAATTCACTGGTAGTTTTCTTTTGCAATGTACTCTAGTTAACACAAAAGCCAAAATCTAGTTTTATATGATTTCATTTTCTTTTTTTAAGAATTTGTGATGTAATTCTAGTGGTTGGTGTAGTGGTATCCGTAGTCATTGTGAATGTTATTAGATGGGGACCAGAATTCACAGTTTACTAAATAGGCTACAAAGAGAATGTGCCTTTGTTTTATGTTCAAAGACAAGAATGTGGTTAAATTGGTTTTAAAATTATACTGTGTCAGTTATACTGAGTCAGTGTTTTAAAAAGTTCTCTGAGTTATTCTCTGGGGCCTGGTTAACACATGAGAACCATATTACAAACAGTTTGGCGTAGAGTTTTAGATATGTGCTCTGTGTGTGTGTGCGTGTGTGTGTACACAGTTCTGGGGATTGAACCTAGGGCCTTCACGTTGGGCTACGTCCTCACACCTCTATATTTTATTTTTGAAACAAGGTCTTGTAAGTCACTAAGTTGCCCTGGGTGGGGTTTGAATTTGCAATTGTCCTGCCTCAGACTCCCAGAGTACTGGGGTTACAGGAGTGTGTTCCACCATGTAAGTTTTAGACTACACTGGACCTTCAGGTTACGAGCAGCCTGACTTAGAAACAACTTGGGTTAATTAGGTTAATGGAAGATTCATCTGCCTCATGTTATCTATAGCATGTACCCAGGTAAACATCCAGATCTCAGCTGTATTGACTTACAACCAAGTTGAATTACAACCAGCCCTTGGGAACTGTTTGAGTTTGTACGTCAAGGATCCACTGTACCTGAATCCAGGGTCTGTTCTTTTCAACTATAGGATTAGGGAAAATTTGCCTCATGTTCATTTGAAGGCAAAAGAATTTTCTAAAATGAAATTAAAGGAAGTGTTTACTTTGGAATGAAACTTGGTTCTAAGGAGTAAGAGTCTTAGAAGCCACTTTGCCTTCCTGGTTAAGGAAACATTTGGCAATGGAAATGCATTAAGTCAAGCTCAGTGGCATATTTTAAAACAGGGGTTTTCATTTTCATCTTTAGATCTTCGCAGCAGGCATTCCAACAATTCCTTTGTGGTTTTGTCTTCCCCTTATTAGGCCGATTTTGTGAAAATTGCACACCCCAAACTGGTGTTCAGAGAAGCTGCAGAAGAAGCCTGCAGGAGTATTGGCACCATGGTGGAAAAGTACGTGTTGTCCCTCCATTCCAGCGCTGGGTGAATGTTTTCTGGGTCGACTGCAGGTGGTGTCCTGCATGGTGCTTGTGCCCACCTGGCACAGTGGGAGGTGGCCTGTGTGTCCACTGGGCAGGGCCTGGGGCAGGTGATGTGGGCACAGCTCTCTTCCTGTCCTCACTGTAGGTGGGGTAAAGCTCACATGCCCCTCAGGTGCTGTGAGGATCAGCTGAGGTAAATGTAAAGTACTTCAGAGGTGTGAGGCCCCTCCCATAACTCAGTAGGCACATCCTGTAACTTTCACCATCGTCATTGCTTACTGTGAGTGAGGGCTGTGTGGTCCTAGTGGCAAGTTGGAGTTCTAGAGTAGTGCACAGCTGAATTGCTGTCCCACTCCAGTAGCGGAACTTATGTATGCACCAGGTAGTGCCTTTGGGCTCTGCTGAGTTGGAATTGGGGGACCCAGGGAGACTGTAAAACTTGGAGGGCCCACAGACTACAGGGAGAAGCTATGCTGACGTAAATTATTTTAAAGTAATTTTGAGGGGGCCGGGGATTTGGATTTAGCTCAGTGGTTCTTCTGCCTGCTTTGCAAGTGCAAGGTCCTGAGTTTGATCCCTGGTACCAGGAAAGAAAGAAAGAGAGAGAGAAGGAGGGAGGGAGAGAGAGGAAGAGAAGAGAAAGAAAGAGAGAGGGAAGGAGGAAGGAAGGAAGGAAATTTTTGAGGTAAACTGAAATGTTTTAAAGCCATTTATGAGAGCTCCAAAGTGTTGATTAAAACAACTGCAGACAGTGCCATGTTCCAAAGCACTTAGGTGGTGATACCACATCAGAGGACATGTGAAGTTAGGGAGAGCCCTGGAAGTTACCTGGCATGAATTTACAAGGGGAAATAGGGATTGGAAACATCACAAGACTTGTTCCATGAGCCAGAAGTTGGAGGAAGAGCGTGACTTCTCCTGTTACGCAGGGCTTCCTTGGAGAATGACGTCTTAGGATGAGCATTTGTTGCTTTCATTGACAACATTGCTCAGTAATCATGATACGTGTACTTTCTTACAGTGACTGAGAATCAGTTTGCTGAAGGGATAAAGTCCCTGCCATGTCCAGACCCTGGACAAGCTGACAAGGCTACATGGGGGGCAGCTGGGAGAATGACCATCACCTGTGGGGGGGACTTGAAGGGGGTCAGCATGGCCAGGCCCCCACCTGAAGTACTCAAAAGCTGTGTCCTGTGGGGTACAGCCTGGCGCAAGGATGAGCACTCTTGAGAGGCAGTTGTTATCACACGTTTATTGTACGAATTTGTGTCTTCTACCATGACATTACTATACATGTGACACTTGTTTTGTGGGAGGAAAACAGAACCACTGTTGATGAAGTGGTGTTGTATATCTACCTGCGATCTTCCCCTCACTGTGGATAGCTTTTCAGTTGTCTGAAAAGAAAATCTTGGAAGAACCTTCATGGCCTTGCCTAGAGCTTTGCTTTCTCTAAGCATTGTGAATCAGCAAGTTCTGGGGTGGTAATTACCCCTTTTAGTTTAACTGAATCATAGCTAACTTCTTCAGTCAGTATTTGAAAAATCAGGATTATTTCAGCTGATATGTGGAACTGATTGATTTTCTGCTAGTAGGGGAAAAGCCTTAAATTTGGTGTAGTTGTTTATAATGAACAAATAGAGCCTTTATCTTAGGAGCTTCCAACATAAAACAGTGTCAGATTTGTGGTTAAATTTCTCAAGACGACACAGTGCAGGTCACCTTGAAATTGCTGTCCTTGAGACAGGAATGGCTTTGTGGGTGAGCAGAGCAGGAGGAGCTCCTGACTCCTCTTAGTGATGGCGGGAGTAGGTGTGTGTGGCCCCTCCTGCTGAGTGTGTAGGTCGGCAGTGACAGCCTCAATTCCCTCTGTTTGGGAGAATGATGGCAAAAGAAACCCTTTGGGGTGTGTGTGTGTGTGTGTGTGTGTGTGTGTGTGTGTGTGTGTGTGTGAACTTGGTTCTTTGATTATGAATTGATGGGGAAATTGGGCCATTCTTGAGGCCCTGAGTAAGAAATGATAGTTTTTTGTTTGTTTTTTTTTTTTTAAATAACTGTGCCTCTCCCTGAGGAGCCACCAGACCAGGGCAGATTGTATCTAGTCCAGTCCTAACAGTATGCCAGGGGTTTGTGTCACCTGGGTCCTGATGAGGTATGGCAGGTTGAGTTGAGATCTCTGCTTGAGTGGTGGTACTTAGCTGTCCCGGCCTCACTCAGGAAGGCCAGCTGGGCTGGCAGTGGTTCATTGGGATGAGGGATGTGCACCATGCCCACATGAGCTCACTTTATCCTCCCAGCACTCTATGGTCTCAGCGACTTGCCTACAGTCGTAGGGCCACAGAAGGGCCAGCCTTGCTTCTGCATGTGGCCGTGGAACCTGTGTCCTGACATGGCACAGGGAGCCCAGGGTCTGTGGGCTCTCTTTAGAACTGGAAGAACTTTGTGCTGTTCAGCCACCTTCCCATTCTCACTTTTTCTCCCATAAGAAACTCCAGTTTCTGCCAGTATTTGCCAAGGGGAACTGATTCTCCATCAAGTCACCGGTCACCACATTTTACCCTCTCTTCCTTCCTGTGACTGCCCTCAACATTTGGCCTCTGGGCTTGTGCGTGCTACCTTCTGACACCATTTGTTTGATGTAGATAAAAATAATGTATTAGAAAATAAGCTTTTTTTTCATTTGTAATTTTTCTAGGTTGAACACGAATGTGGAATTATACCAAAGTTTGCAGAAATTATTAGCTGATAAAAAGCTTGTGGACTCCCTTGATGCTGAAACCAGGTACTCATGGCTTTCTTAGCATTTGCTACAACTGGGCCTTTAGAGGAGGGACTGGAGCTCTCCTGGGCTCCTGCACTTACACAAGGTCTCATGGTGCTTCTCCCACCTCCACACCTCTGCTTCTCCACACCTTCTCTAGGACTTCGCTTAGATGGCACCTCCTCACCCCAGGCAGGTCCATCCTCTTACTTTAGCTTTTTTCTTCATAGTTCTAATCTGCTTGCTAATTTGTGTTCATCTTCCTGCTTCTCTAATTGCCACTTCCCAGAGGGCAGGGCTTGGTCTCTGGCTGTATCCTCAGTGCCTACTGTAGGTGCTTAGCTAATGAACTATTGGACACAGCTGGTGATTACACTTAGCCTTACGTTTAAGACTCCATAGTCAATGCCATCAGTAGATATAAGGAAATTGATTTATTTATTGGATGGGTATCAAGGGGCTTAAAGTGATTCGCTTTGCTTCATTAGATTACATTTGTTAATCTGATTTGAAAGGCTTAATTTCTAAGTCAGTATATACTGGTAGGAATGTTTGATATCTGATCTTGGATAGATTTTTGTCTTTGCTCAAATTTGCTTATAAAGTGGGGGTGATAGGGTTTTCCTTTATTAGCTAATGATATTTGTGTCATAACTAGATTTTTTCATCTGTTTAATCTGCTTTTAATTTGTGGGACATTTACTTCCTTGAACTACTTAATTACCCTCCTGCTTCTTTCTCCATTTCTGTCTCCAAATGTGGCTTGTGACCCCAACTGAAGCCCTGTTCCATTGTTGAGCCTTACTTTTAACTTATTGACAGGGGTGTGATTACCCGGTCTTATTTCATTTCATCCATTCTAATGCTCAGGATACTAGGAAAGCTAACATTGTCATCACAATACTTGGTTTCATTATAATTTTAGGCTTGAGCATGATGTTGCCTTCATGAGCAAAGCCAGTAAGATAGGCCAGTCCTGTGCCATTTAGCAGCAAGGGTTAACGGTCTGCCTGTTTTTCCTGGTGCTCTGGATGTCAGTGAGACACTACCTAGCCCTCTGTGCCCTCATTGGGTCTGTTGGAATCTCCTTGTGTCAGTCCTGAGAGCACCTGCATCTCCTCTGGGCATCCTGAGATGACACAAGCCTCCACCTTGTATCTGGAGCTGGTCCCATGGACACCAGAATACACATCAGGTACCCAGTGTTGGCCTCCAACCAGCAGGAAACCACACCAGGAGCCTCAGAGTCCAGCACTCCACACCTTTCCTTAGCTGATGTGACAACTTTGACAGTTGCCACAAACAGTGGTTTATAGAGAGGGTAGCCACTGAGCTGAGAAATCAACACAAGCTTACAGACTACAAAGAGGAATGTGACGTGTAAGATTACAGTAGCTTCAAGAAAAGTGAAATAGCTAGGAATTAACCTAACCAAGAAAGTAACAGACCTCTCTCTGCAAAGAAAACTACAGTACTCTGAAAAAGGAGATTGAAGAGGACATCAGAAAATGGAAAGATGTCCTTTGCTCCTGGATAAGCAGAACCAATATTGTCAAAATGGGTATTTCAGTTAGTTTTCTTGTTGCTGAGACAAGATAACCTGATATCCAAAGTTAAAGAAGAAAGATTTATTGGTTCACAGCTTGTAGAGCTTTCAGTCTATAGTTGGCTGGCTCCAAGGCTTCTAACTACTCCTCAGATGGAGACTATTATCTAGCAGATATAGTATAAAGAATTCAAAGCAATTCAACCACCTAAAATTAAAGACCTAGTCAAGAAATGGGCAAGTGAAATGAATAGATAAATAGGAAGAAGTACAAATGGCCAACAAATTCATGCAAAAATGTTCAACACCTCTAGCCATTAGAGAGATGCAGATTAAAACAACACTGCAATTCTGTCTTACGCCAGGAAGAATAGCCATAATCAATAAATTAAAAAATAACAAATTCTGGCATGACTGTGGTGACTGTGGTGTAGCATGGCAAAGGGGCATTCTGGAGGACAGAAAGACTTCATGATGGCCAAAGGCAGCAGAACGGCAAAGTAGCAAGTGACAAGCAACATAGCCCACTTTCTGTCCTTTATATTCTATCCAAGTTACCTTCCTATAGAGTGGGTGGCACTCACACCCCAAGAGGGGCATCCATAATCCTAGCCTTGCAATGTAAATCAGTTCTACCATCACATCCTTAATTCCAGCACTATATACACTAGATCCAGCCACCTCCAAAAAGCCCCACCTATGACTGCATGAAGTTTTAGGGAAACATCTAGATAGAAGCCATAACGATAGCTATATTTCCAAAACTGTTATACAGATCCAGTGCAGTCCTAATCAAAATACCAACAGCATACTTTACAAAATGATATAAAACAATCTTTAAATTTATATGGATTCAGAGGAGACCCAGAATAGCAAAAGCAGTTTTGAGTAACAAGAACAAAGCAAAAAGCCTTGCAATACCAGAATTCAAGCTATACTACAAAGCAATAGTGATAAAAATGGCATGGTACTGGAACAGAAACAAATACATGGATCAGTGGAACAGAACACAGGATACAGAAACTTCTCCAGACACATTCAACTAGTTTATCTTTGACAAAGCATCTAAAAGCATGTTGGAGGCAAGAGAGCCTATTCAACAAGTGGTACTTGGAAAACTGGTTATCTGTTTGCAGAAGATTGAAACTGGATCTGTGTCTCTCACTGTGTGTATACTAAATTAAAACCAAAATGGATCAAAGATCTAAACATTAAAACAGAAACATTAAACTCACTGGGAGATAAAATAGGTAAAACACTTGGAAGACAAAGGTGTACAAAAGGATTTACTAAACAGAATTTCAGTTGCACCAGAAATAACAGCAAGAATAAAAAAAATGGGATTATTTTAGACTGAAAAGCTTCTGTGTAGCAAAAGAACTAGTAGAATGAAGAGACAGTCTACAGAATGAGAAAAAAAATTTCCAACTACTCCTCAGAGACTATTATCTAGCAGATATAGCATAAAGAATTCAAAGCAATTCAACCACCTAAAGTTAAAGACCTAGTCAAGAAATGGGCAAGTGAAATGAATAGAGATACAGAGGAAGAAGTACAAATGGCCAACAAATATATGAAAAAATGTTCAACACCTCTAGCCATTAGAGAGATGCAGATTAAAACAACACTGTAATTCTGTCTTAGGCCAGGAAAAATGGCCATAATCAATAAATTTAAAAAATAACAAATTCTGACATGACTGTGATGAAAAAGGAAACCTCTTTCATTGTTGCTAGGAATGTAAACTAGTACAACATTATGGAAATCAGTATGAAGATTTCTTAAAGAGCTAAAATTAGAAATATCATATGACCCAGCTATCCTCCTGCTAGGTGTCTTTCCCAAAGAGTTTAAGACATCGTCCTACAGTGATACATGCAAAACAATATTTATAGCAGCACAATTCATAATAATTAAATCCTCAAAGCAGCCTGCATACCCATCAATAGACAATTTGCTAAAGAAATTGTAGCATCTATATGTAATGGAATACTACTTAGCTATAAAGAAAAACAAATTTGAGACATTTGTAGGAAAACAAATGGATGCACCTAGAAAATACAATGTTGAGTGGACTAAATCAGACACACCATCTTCGATATCATACGGTATTTCTCATTTGAGTAAGGCAAAGTACAAATTAAGGGAGAAATACAGGAAGGATAGAAGGAGACAAGGGGCTGGATCTCTTGCAGATGGAAAAGAGTCTGGGGACCAAGGGTGAGAGATGAGGGGGTGGGAATGGGGAAATAGGTAGAGTTAAGATACACCAGGTACAAGGTCCTAATAACTTCAGTGAATGTGGACATTCATAATATGCCATAAACATGAACTAAGATTAATAATAACAAAAGTGAAAAGAAAAGGGGTCTTAGAAGACAGAGGGGGAAGGAAGGAGATTAAAAGAAGAAATTGTATTATGTACATGTAGTAGCTCCCCAAGATGATTGTAAAATGCAGTTACTGAAAACATGTACTAATAAAATACGATTAACAAAATAAGATTATTAACATTCCAGTTGACACTTCCAGGTTTAATGTATAGAACTTGTAGTAGGCTAACATGATTTAGATACAAAGGACTTGTGCCAATAGGATGGATACATTCCACAACTGCAGATGTTGCTAAAAATGCAATAGGGACTTTTGAATAACAAAATGAGAAGCACCATGGGAAGCAGAAGATAGGTGAAATATTAATAGTCTAGAAAGGGGAAAGCTTTGGATATGGGAGTATATTGGAGTTTGAAGTAATAACTAAAATATTATAGCATTCATACATCAAGAGTGTTGGGTAGCACCCCCAAAAGAACTTTTAGAGTCTTTCCTACAGTAGCATAAGACAGGGCTAAAGCAAAGAATTGAAGATTTAATAAAGTATCTTGTCCTGATAAGTTAGTGTACAGAAGAAATGATTTGAATTAACTCATCCCATTTCAATTTGTTTCCTACCTGCCCCCCCTACCCTTTTTGAGACACGGTCTTGCTATGTAGATCAGACTGGCCTTGAACTCACTGTGTAGTCCAGGCTGGCCTCGAACTCGGAGCAATCCTCTTGCCTCAGCCTCCCAAATGCTGAGATTATAGGTGTGTGCCACCCTGCCTGGCTAGATTCATCCCTTAGCACTAGTTCTGTGAAATAGTCACATGTTTTGAGTGGTTCCATTGGTCCATAAATTTGGAAATTTGACATTTTAATATTTTTTCCCCAGTTGCAAAATTTCACTTATTAGAGTTTCTAATCTCAGCCATAAAGAAACCTGTTTAACTGTGGTTTTCCAGAACTGTATATTCCCTATTCAAAAATATAACAGCACACTTTCCAGACAATATAACAGAGGGAAAACCCTAGTCACAAAAGCCACGGAAGCTGTACTATACCTTAAAATAAACTCTAGAAGGCAAAGAGTGTACACTTACACACAAGTGCGTGTGAACACACCCTGGGAAGTGTGGAAAAGGACTGAAGTAGAGAAACTGCAGTACTGTATTCTTAGCTAAGACTGAAGGAAGCTCAGTAGTGCTCTCTACTGGCCTGTAACTTTACTGGGTCCAATCTATATCTAAAATGATTTTTTTTCTTACTACTTTAAATGACTTTAAGGTCACACAGAATAACGATGCTAAAATAGGTGAGAAAAATCTGGGACCATAACCCAGAGGGATATGTACCAGATAATAAAACATGCTGTAAAAATACTGTATTTAGAAAGTGTCATACTTAGGCCTGAATAGTTGATTAAATCTGTGAAAGAATGGAGGAATTTCAGCCAGACGTAGATCCATGGTAGTTTGTATTTAGTATATGATAGAAATGTCATTTTACATTAGCAGGGGAAGAGTTCGTCTTCAAGATTAGGCCAGGGACCTGGGATTTAGCTCAGTGGTTCGGTGGCCTGCCTTGCAAGCACAAGGACCCAAGTTCAATCCAATAGTTGATTAAATCTGTGAAAGAATGGAGGAATTTCAGCCAGACGTAGATCCATGGTAGTTTGTATTTAGTATATGATAGAAATGTCATTTTACATTAGCAGGGGAAGAGTTCGTCTTCAAGATTAGGCCAGGGACCTGGGATTTAGCTCAGTGGTTCGGTGGCCTGCCTTGCAAGCACAAGGACCCAAGTTCAATCCTCAAT